TGTCAAAGTAAAAACTGAAAAACTAGGTAAATATATAAGGCTAAAAATAAAATTTTAAGTGATAAAGATGTTAGATACCTAATTAGATTTTACCTAATGTTAGATAATAAATTATGTCTAAGAAAACTAATATATGACTTAGTTTCCCATTAATCAACCCATAAATTAACAATTAAGAATATAAATTTTCAAATCTACCAACAAATGTAACAAGATTAAGCAGATTTGTGTGATTAAAGCTATTTTACGTCTCTTTAAAGCAAAGTTGGGTACTTGGCATCAAGAAACTCTCTGAGAGTACGAGCAGCTTTGTGACCACCCACGAGTTCTGCCAATTTCTCTACAGGCAAAGACGCTAGCTCAGACAAACTCTTACAATTCTCCATTATCGATCTGTAGTTTGCGTCCGAAACTCCGGGAAGCCTTCTCAGAAACTCTACTGCAGATGAGTTATAGTTCTCGGCTCTGTTCACACGATGAGTCAATTTCGATAAATCAAAAAACTGATTTCGGCAGTTTAGAAGTAAAGAGTTTTTGATTTTACCTGATGTCATTTTCTATGATACCTTCTTCTGAAGGCACACCAACCCTTATTGCTCGGGTCTCATCGGGTTCGTCTTGGTTGGATTTTAAGGTAGTGAAGATTTCTGCGGTTGCATGTAGACTTCGAGACCATAGTATCCTTAACCGAGGAAAATGTAGAACTAGCAATGATAGTTTCGATATGATGTTATATGGAGCCACATCATCTGATATATCACTCGCAGACTGCAAAAACATAAAAAATCCGATCCAAACTCAGATGAAATGCAAATATTTCGACTGTGAAGATAGGAACGTGAGAGATAGGTAACCTGAAACGAGAAGCTTTTGTCTTGAGAGAATTCGATGAGAAGAACGGGTATTCTGTAATAACGGGACATCATTTCCACTTGGTGGAATAAACGACCTGATGTGAAGCTCTGGAAAAGATCCTGAATGCTTTTTCTCTCTACGCATATTGACGGCGAGAGGATATAGTCACCAACCTCTAATGTAACCGGTATTATCTTCATTCCTTTCTGGTGAAGAACATTTGGTAGACTGCTCATGAACTCCCTCATGTCAACTATTACCTGGTAGAAAAAACCCACTAAATAACTTGAGTAAACTTTTCCCGAATCATGTTAGTCTTGGAGATCAGATAAGTACTGAGGTATGAACCTGTGTTTCTTTTTCTACTTCCTTTCTTCCACCTGCTTTTCGGGTTACTGAGTTTTGAGTACTTGAAGCTGGATAATCTGTAGATGAATTCGACCCCATGCAAAGCCCATCCTGATTCCAAGACATAACATAGAATGGATTAGAAGAAAGAAGGAACGAGAAGACAAGAGGACAACGTAAATTCCGATTTAGAGTTTCATCTACTTGGTCTGATTAAATTTGATATACACTTTTTTTTTAGCAGAACTTTACCAATTATTGAGTTGTTCTAATGTATCATCGTATCATGTTGTAGTAAACTTGCTTCAACTGAAATGTTGGGATTTGAGTTAAAAACCTGATCGACGGGAATAATCATCGAAGACTTCTGCCTGATCAATGATTCAAACGCTCCATTTTCCCGGCGTATGCTTGCTTCGAACTTCTGCACTTCTGTGGACTCATCATAGAAAAGAAAATAAACCTTCAGCTTTTTCAGAGGGTTCTCTGCTTTGTACACCTCAATTTCTCTGACGAAACCCATGTCAGGCTGATAGACAATGATCACAGACGGTTTCAAGATATCTAGTATAGGTTGATCGCTTTCTAAGGCATAAAAATGCACAGGCGGTAGCTTCTTAGCACTGTTGGGGTGAACAACATTGGCTTCTCGAGGGGTTGATGTGCTAGCTTCACTAGCTTTTTCTACATTTTCTGAGCCTGTTAAGATTTCAGGTTCACTGTTCGCCTTTTTCTTATTGCAGCTTCTTATGGATCTCCGAAGACTTGATACTTCCTTTTTAGCCTTTCCTTTGGTACAGGAAGCCTTATCGACTTGAGCCTCTGGATTAGTATTTCCAGAAGCCATGTCCATTGTCTTTCCTAGCTTGCGAATAGAGGACGCAGCAGCAATAAGAGCCTCATGTTCTTGTCTGCAAACACTGCCACCCTCTGAGTTCTGCATAGTAGTTACCGGAACGACTCCATCGAGAATCCCAAAACCCTTGGGAGTCTTTTGTTTCTTCTTTTGCGGTGTATGCACACTGCGGAGCTCAATTTTGCTCAGCAGGTACATTTCCCATTCTTCCCGCATTACCTGCACATGTGTATGGAAAATGAGAAGATTTGTGTGGCCCAAACAAAGACAACTGATTTGTGAAGATTTGTGCGGAGTAAGTAGGGACAGTGTTCTTATCGATGTAAAATATAAAAAAGAACTGTAGTTATCTCCCTATACCTTATGTGGATTGTTCGTGATGCAATCTTCAAGCTGCATGCAGGAACGCTCATCTTTGCAAGCCACGAGAACTATACCATTGTTGTCACAGTTGTCTTCTTCAGATAGAGACTGCTTTTGTCTTTCTTCTTGTATCTCTTCTAAAATCTCCTGTATCAATCATAGAGAGTGGCGGCCATTATTTCCTATGGCTAAGTTGTGAAAACTGTAACAGAGAAACGGCATTGAAACTGAAACTCACTCAGTCACTCACACGTAAGACTTTCCATTTTGGTGCCTCTTCGAGGACTTCTTCAATAACAACGCCAGTAGCCACATTAGTTGTTGTCGTTGCACCACCAACTGATTCAAGTCCATTTATCAGCAATATAAATTGAAACAAATAATTCACGAAAGTCACTAGATGCAAGATACAACAATGTAGATCAAGACTCTGTTACCTGCTTCTACACAAGCATTATTGCCCTTTACTTTTCTCTTTTTACCACTTGTATTCTTAACATGTTCTTTTGACTTGACGTCACTTGCCTTCATGAGACGATACACTCGTTTCTTTGCAAAATCAAATATTTTATAGCTCGACTCTGCAAATAACCAAACAGATCGATAGCTCTCCGCTACCCTGAGTGTATCCAAGAACTTCAGAAAACTCACAGCATCATACCTACACAGAAATCCATAAACATAACACCAAATGAAGTCCAAGTTAGAAACTGCAGAACACCCATCTTAAAGCTATGGACGAGTAAAAAGAGACTTTGCATAAGCACATTCATAGAGAGAAGACAGAGAGCTCTTACCTAACAAGATAATCAAGCAACTTCCTTAAAGTCTTCAAATCAGAAACAAGCTGTTTAGTTCTTTTCCCTAGAGTATGCCAAATTGGGTCAAGCTGCCTCCTAACAATCTCATCAAAGGACTTAAACAAACCACTCTCTACAGTCAAATCATCAACATCAACCTTATTAGTCTTCCTCATCTCCTTAAGGCAAGCATCCATAACTTCAAGGATTGCTTTCTGTATCCCCACCATATAATTCGACATTGAAACCCTAATATCCACAACTTCCGGTGGTTCTTGCTCTAATTCCTGAGTCACATCCAACTGAAACCTGATCCAGAAGAAAACCTATAAGCTTCGTAATGATCCAATCAACATTGTTTTTTCTTTACATGATGAAAAACCTGGGCCACAGATGGAGTTTACGGAGGTAGAGAGCACGCATGGTTCGTTCCGTCTTAGCGAAACCGGAGACCATTGATTGCGGTCTATCGGAGAAGGCGCGTATATAAGCGGAGCCATTTAGGGTTTTAACGATTCGCACTATGAAAGCTTCAGTGGAGGTTTCGGAAAGAGAATGAGCATTGAGGATGAAGATACCGGCAAGTGAAGAAACCGGAATCCGTTGAGTAAGGAGATCGACGATTAGAATCCGCGGCGTGATGAAGAAAGGACTACCGGAGGAGTATAACGAATAACGCTGATTCGCCGGAAGATCGGCGGTGATTTCCGTCGGAGTAGGAGAATCTAGAGAGGAGATGTAATGGATGATTCTGGATTTGAGAGATTGAGAAGCGGGAGAGAGAAGGAGAAGTAAAGTTCCTTGAGACGGTGAATGAAGGATTAGAAGAGAAGCGATTAGTTTAGCGAGGGAGAGACCTGAAGAGAGGATTACTAATCCGCCATTAGAGTCCTCGAGAAGGTCTGATATGATCTGTTGGTGAAATTTCAGCGCCATGGAAGAAGAAGAAGAACGACGCAAATCGGGGAAACGACGACGATAGAGTTTTTTTATACGGTCAATCAAAACGTTTAAACTCCAAAACGGTGCCGTTTAACCGATACGAGGACATTTTGTAGCAATCAGACTTTGATTTTCAATTACAAGTGAACAAAAGAATACAAACGTTTCTTTCCAAGTGAAATGCCTTTGCATCCACATGTTATAGAAATCTAACTTTGATGAAAGAAAGCAATCTATATGCACCTATCTACATGACTCTACACTTTTCAACATTTTGTGGACTGTAACTTACAAGATTTCGAACCAAATTGCGGTCTAGCATCTCATCGAGAAGTCCGCTTGTTATGTATCTATGTCGTGTATGTATAAACGAGCTCATCAAATCCTCCTCGCTTCACAAAGACCGTGTAACAATGTATAAAACCTCATCTCTACGGGAGCCTATCCGAGGCATCTCCTTGAAAACCTGAAAACGCGCATCCAATTCCTTTCTTCTAGAGCAAACCAGAGTCAACGATACAAATGGGCAACATATGCTTCTGAATCATCTTACACACGTATAGGCAACATATGTTTCTGAAACATACAACATGTCATATGACCCATCACAAACTGCAACTGCCCCATCGTTTTCTGTGAGTCGAAGCATCATCAGAGAACCCTAGACTTTTCAATACTATGATCAGTTCAGCTATACCTAATTATACACGCCTTCATTTGGTAAAACCCCATCTTCTTTCATTTTCCTAAACAGCGTATGAGCTTCAAGCTTTAACCCTTCCCTAAACAATCCTGATACCATTGTTGTATGTTACAACATTAGGCTTCACTCCTTTGGAAGGGAGGCTAATAAATTAATCAATAGCATCTTTCACTTTACCAGCTTTGCACATCCCTTGAATGATGATAGTATATGTGATAATACCAATATCCATTTCTCTCTTTTGCATATCCTCATATATCATCAACGCTTTCTCTAGCTTCCCGTTATAACACAGACTATGTAACAAAACGTTGTAAGTCCTAATATTGGGAGGCACACCACGAGAAACCATCTGACTAAAAATTTCAAGGGAGACATTAGGTTTGCCAACTTGAAAAAAACCTTGAATAAGAACTGTGTAAGTGATTGTGTTTCTGATTAATCCTTTTCGGGACATCTCGTAGAAGATTTTCATCCCGTAATCTACCTTCAGAGACTTGCAAAACCCGTTTATGAGAGACGTATAGGCGACTACGTCTGGAAAACAACCCTCGGTTTCCATCAAATAAAACATTTCTTTGGCCTCGTCTACACGACCTTCCATGCATAACCCATTGATCAATGAAGTGTAAGTGAAAATATTAGGAGCTATAGACATTCGAATCATCTCATCGTACAAGTCTTTAGCCTCCAAAAACTTCCCTTCTTTCACAAACGCATCAATCAATGCATTGAAAGTGATTACATCAGGGTTGATTTTCTTCTTAATCATATCGTTCAGTAGCGGAGCAGCATCATTCCATCTACCAGAGTCACAAAGACCGATAACGAGAGAGGTGTAGGTAACAATATCCAGTCTAATCCCAGTGTTTTCCATCTGGTTGAAAAGGTTCAACGCATCATCCACATGTCGGTTCTTGCAAAGACTCTCGATGATCGTAGTGTACATAACAACATCGGGTTTAATTCTCATTCTCATCATCTGATTAACAATAGACATCGCATCGTCGATTCTATTCCCGACACAGAATCCATTGATCAAAGAAGTAAACGTGACGATATCAGGCTCAAAACCAAGTTTCATCATCTTCCCGAGAAAAGACGAAGCAAGAGAAGGCTGAGAAGATTGGCAAAAACAGTTCATTACAAGATTGCAAGTATAGAGATCATGTGAAACTCCCATCGTTTGCAAATGCTCGCATAGATTGATCACAACATCAAATTTCTTCATTTTCGCAATACTAGTCAATAATCTAGTGAAATCGATAATCGAAGGTAGAGGACGAGTCTCAACCATGTTAGTGAATAAATCCAGAGCCTCGTTAAACTGAAGAGAGGGAAGACGAGTTCTCAGAATCTGTCGGTAATCACAATAAGCTCGAACCCAGAAACAGTGACTCAAAATACGGCTAAAAGAGACAAAATTTCCAGAATTACCTTTCTTCAAACGATGAAGACGAAGATGGAGAAAACTCATCGCCGCCATTAACGCAATTTCAAACCCAAACCTTTGATTGGGTTCGTTTCAAACCTCTCTCTCTTTCAGAAGTTATTGCGAACCCTAAATCACCATTATAGATGAAAATGAAGAAACCCCATCGCCATTAACACAATTCTTAACGAAATCTCAGAGGTTTTTGCGAAGAACCCTAAATTGAGAAGCGACGAGAGAAGCAACATAATTTTGTACACGTGTATTATTTTGACTTTGTGTAAATGTGTTGACTTCGTATCATTAACGATTTGATGGGCCAAGCTAAATGGATCAAATATTAAAAAGGCCCATTTGTTTAGTGGGGATTAAGCTTGTTAATAGTGTAAAATGTAATTATTTACTGTCATCAAGAGCCATAGCAACTAGACATGATTTTGTAATTTTTTATAGGAAATAAAATAAAAAAAGTTGCAGCTAACTTTTCAAATAATTGTCGAGTTTATATGTTTTTTATTTTTGTGTGTGTGTGTGCAATCATACATTACTTCCACTAGAACCTAACCTTAGTTGTAATATCATTTACTTGTTTAGAGATCTACCAAGAACAAAAAAAAAAATTCATAACAACTAAAAATTGTAATCTAAAGCAAACCAAATCTGTTGACAAAAAGAGAAAAGAAAAGCAAACCAAATCTATTTTTAATAGATTATATGCCATAATGGTAATTAGAAAATAAGAAGAAAAAAATGCAGATTAGGTATAGTAGGACCCTTTTAGATGCTAATCCTAGTCTCTAATTCCTTTTACTCTTTAAGAAAATTAGAAAAAGTTTTTTTTTCATATAATTGTGTGAATATTTGTTTTTTTTTGCCAACAATAACTATGAATGCTTAGGGATACAGAAAATAAATAGTGAGCCCGAATCGGAGTTTAAGAAAAATAAAATTTGATATTTTTTATCAGTTCAATTAATGATTTTCAAATTATCATTTGTGAATATTATTTTTGTTTATAATTTCTAAGCAACACGCTAATAAGTTAAAAATCAAATTTCAATATGACATGGACACTAACTAATATAAACCATATACTAATTAAATTTCTTATCTGCATTTATAAATTTAACTGGCAACATTCTTATCTGACTTATTGTCTCTCTTTTTCAGTGAATGCAGGTAATATATTGACTTCGGAAGTTTCGAAGGTGATGCATGTTCATACATTTGTCCTTGAATACAGACACAATTAAATATATTAGTTTATTTTTAGCTTCCAATTAAATATATTACTATCAAACATGCATTATATGGGAAAGAAATATAAAAATATAGTTTCATACTTTCATTACATAAATATAGGAATCTATTGCTAATTAAATGCAATGAGTGTAAATTTAGTCAAAATCTATATAATAGGGCCAAATAATTAAATAAAATTATTTTCCTTCTTTTATAAAGAAAAAGCTAAAGCACAAACTCTTCGTCTCTAATCCAGGAAAAAACAAAAACTTTCTTTGAATCCAAG